GGAACCGTCAAGCCCGGCAAAATGACCGTCGTTTTGGTGTTTTGGTTTGGCCCGAATGGGGCAACATGACGATAAGTCTTGTAATCTTGCTTGGGTGATGGGGCATGCTTACTTTCGTCTTCCGTGACAGGAGAAGTCGCCGTCGCTGTCGTCGCTGTGTTTGCGGGGTGGGGAAGGACCACAGGATGCGGAGAAGGAGGAGATTGGGTGGGGGAGGAGAGGCCATTTATTCTGTAATGGGCATCTAAGAAGAGCATCAACGAGCGCGATGATATTGCATTGCCCGAACAGCATCGAACACTTTCTGAAAAAGCCCTGCTCATGATGTGCTGCACCTCAGACATGCGAAAGTCGCGGCCGATGTGGTGAGCTACGGCGCCGCCATCAGTGCATGCGAGAAGTGCAAGAAGTGGCGACATGGAGCATCACTCAGCTGCACAGTCGTACTCCATATGGGCAGCACTGTCGCAGCTTTTGCTTTCGAAGCGCAGCAGATAATGATAGCATCAGTGGATTGCCGAGCTGCCGGCAAAAGCTAGGCTGGTAGGAGTAGGCTCGATGCCTCTCCATTCCTTAGGCCTGGCACTTCTGGATGAACTGCGCGGACAAGGCTCGACAGCCCATGGCAGGATCGGCAGAATCGACGTCAGGTTGTGCAGGGAAGCGACTGCCTGTGAACCGGCACAAGTGATTCCATTATCCTGTGAATGGATCCAACTGCATGAGCCACAGCTGGTCTTTGCTCGCTGCTGTGTCGCGCACAATTTTGCTTTCTGCCACGTTCAATTCTAATCAGCTGCGCCCGATCATGCCCGAGCCGTTTACTAAGCCAAAGTCCTCAGATCTGGCGGCCAACGTGGTGGCCCTGAGCGCGGCCATCGGCTCATGCGGCGAGGCCCAGTGGAGGCCATCCTAGAAAGAAGGGCAGACAGGGTAGACAGAGCAGCTGTTGCACATAGCAATATCATAGATTCTGTAATCCGGTATCGTGCAGTCAGGAGTGACGGGATTGATGGCTCCAAAAAAGTATACTTGCTGGTCTGTGCTGAGTTTGCACTCAGGCGCACGCTCGTGCTTCTCAAGGCTATGTCGGCCATGGTGTCCGTGTTACCCTTGTAGCTAGTGACGGCTTCCCTCTTCCAGGCAATGCTGGAGCAGCAGTTGCAGCCGAACGAAGTTACTTTCACCTCGATCGTCTCAGCCTGTGCTGGCGCGTTGCGTTGCCAGGCTGCAGTTGATATACTGGGTGAATCGGCGGCGTCTTGCATCCAAGAGCCACATCTCCAGTGCGCAATCTCGTGTAATAATTTACGCGCGGGTTCGCGCGGTCCTCGGTCACGCCCCGTGGTCCGCGGTCGTTCGCGTCTCGAGGTCCGCCAGCCCCAGGTCGCAGCCCGTGGCCGCTCTTTCCTTCAGGGCGTGGGCTCTGATCCCTTTTTGGGTTTGGGCTTTGCCTGCTTCTCCTTTGGGGGTTTGGGGTCTCCTTCCAGCTTTAGGGGGTTTGCCAACCAAGACGGTTTAGGGTTTGGGTCTTGCCAGTCAGCATCTCCTGCGGTTATCCAACCGAAAGTTTTACGGGTTTAGTTTAGGGTCTCCTTTGGGCTTTTTGTCAACCAACGTCTTCCTTCTAGGGGTTGGAGCCTCCTTCTAGGGAGGCTTGCATTGCCGACCACCAGCTCCTTCCAGCTTTGTTGCGTTCTAAACAACATCTTGTTTTGGGTTTGCCAACCAACATCTCTTTTGGGGTATGGGGTTTGTCATGTTCTTTTCGAGTTCAGTACCACCTTATTGGGTTGGGTGCGGTCCGTGGCCTGCGGCCACGACATCGTGACGTGCGGACACGGCAAGCAAACCTACACGTCAATAACTCGAGGATTGGAATCTCCACACTGTAAGTTTCAACATGCATTGCTGAACACGTGTTGTGGAGTTGGAGGTTGGGAGGTAGCGGTGAAGATGCTCACGGAGATGAATTGCCGTGGCATCAGCGGAGGTGCGAAGAGCTCACGTAGAGCGTCACGTGCACGTGTAAAATGTCCGGCTGAGTCCCGCAGCAGGCGTGGTGGCGTCGTCTCGAGTCCTGGCACCTTGGCCTCCTTAGGCCTGGCCCCGTCCCGGAGGCCCTGTGCCCTCAAACAGTCTCAGGAGGCTCTTGAGCGAGCTGCAGCTGCACCGGCGGCACCTTCGACACTGCAGTGCGTGCTGGCACGCGGTGAGAGGCTTTGTGGCGAGCTGGTGTCGGAAAAAAATCGAGGACGCACGAAGGGCTAAGAGGTTTCATTGGTGTTTTGATGCTGGAGGTACGGTGGCCAAGGGTTGACCCGTAAAGCCACGAATTTGCCGACGGGTCCTGCCCGACCTGAGTAAGCTCGAGCAACGATGAGTTGTTCAGCGCTTGTAAAGGCAACGAGGAATGCTGCAGCACGGCGCTCTCTAGCCAGATAGGAGTAGACCAAACAATCTTTCGACAGTGCATCTTCGACATGTTTGGACCTCTCCGGTCCAAGCACGACTGCCTTTAGACAAGTTTTGCCATTCAAAGCGGCGCAAGTGCGCCGTGAAAAGTCTATGAACGTCACCGCATTTTTTCTGAAGGAACGCGCAGAGTGCTGTTGTGCTGCACCATGTTGGAGAACGAGCTCCGTCACCGTGTTGATGCTGTCTCCATAGCCGTCCATTGCTTGACACCGAGCAGCTACACGGTTCAAACTGTCCGGTTGCTGCCGAAGTATCGCCTGGCTCAGACACTCGGAAGATCAGGTAAAAGGCTTGTGTTCCTGGTAACACGTTGGGTTTCTTACTTTCGGAGGAATGGTTTTTGCCGTGACATGCTCGGAACGCAGCAGACAAGGTGTGCAATCATTCTGGTAAGGTCCCTGAATCATGTCAGTATATGGGGGGAACGATTTGCTGGGGTGGTGATGGAAAAGCTCGAAACCACGCAAGGTGCGCGGAAGTACTCTTCAGAACCTTGGAGTGGATTTCAGGCCGTCCTAGGGTCTCTGGTTGGTGGTCTCTGGTGGTCGTGGTCGTTCTGGTCGTCGTGGTCGGTCTCTCGTAGGTCGTAGTGTCGTGGTGGTCCAGTGGTCGTGGCTCTATCACAATTTGGGGACCCATGCTGGCATAGTTTTCATTGATGTTCGGCTTTTCAATTTGTGCCTGAAGCAACCAGACAATATCAGAGAGTGTTTTTACTTCCGAGCTTTCCTGCCCAGGAAGCAATGACGGACGCCAGTCCTGATCAATCTATCGTCCAGGCTTGGGAGTGCAGTCTGTGAGAGACGCAACTGTTTGAGCACAACCTTTCTTTTTGCAAGATTTTTGCAGTATTGCCAATATCTGACTCCTGCGCGGTGTGCCTGCAGGCTGTCATGGGAATGTCATCGGTGTTTCTCTACTTGAGCTGCCTATGCCTGTTTTTCATGGGGCAGAAAGACGTCTCCCGACCCTACAACATGGTGCAAGGCTTAGATTACGACGTTCAGAAGTGATTGCATTGCTTTGCCAAGTACATCGTTGTTGTGCGGATGGCTAATGTCAAGTAGGCGGTCCCTCACTGAGATAGCCTGCTTGGTGACCTTCATTGCGGGCTCTGCCTACCTGGGCATGTCCTCGGGACTCTTCGTACATGTGGTGGATGGCAGGCTTTCAAGCGAGCTTTGAGCGGGTTTTCCTTGGAAGCTTGGAGCCGATGCTTCGGACGAGTGTCAGGCACGTCTACTGCCTTCGGTATGTGGACTGGTGCTTTACAACTGCTTTAATGCTATTGGACCTGGCGCTTATGCGAGGCCAGGCGGTTGTGTCTTACCTTCTCAACTCTTCGACCAGTGTCGGATGTACAAAGTGGAGCAGGTGCCGACATGAAGGCGACTGCTGCATTGATCGGCATCGACGTTGCTATGATTTTGCTCCTGGCTTGCAGAGAAAGTTTCTGCATGCTCTCCTTGCTTAATTGCGGTCTGCCTGCCTTGCGTAGCTGGGCTACTAGTAGATTTTGTTCTTCTTTGTCTGCACCCCCCTGCTGCTTTGGGCGGCCCCATGCTTTCGTAGATTCAGGCTTTACCTGTGTTTGTTCTTGTCTGACCGAGCTGAAGCGAGCTGCATGAGATAGAGTGTCATGTGCAGCTACAGAAGTCTCTCCTGCCCGAGTGGCTCTAGTGACTTTACGGCCCTTGTGTGTCCTCCGACGTACAGCCTCTATCTGCACGTGCGAGCGGTAAAGCACATGCTGCCATTGCACATCCCTTCCAGTCGAAGCAGTTTGGATGGCAGAGGATGGCGCTGATGGCCGCTCTCAGCACATCGAACGCAGGCGAAGTCCCCAGGTGATCACATGTTTTGTTCTGCAGCCCCTGCTCTGTCGCTTCTGCATTAACATATATCCTTGATCATTCGTGCAGACCAGAAGGTTTCCCCTCGTCCATCTGATGACAGGAAAGTGGAGCTTTTTTGGCATGGGCACCGTCTGCTTCGCCGGCATGGCCTCAGCCTCGGCTGAACAGAGAGCAAGGCTAGAAGCGCCGGCTTCCACTCCTTCCACTCCTCTGTGGATTTCCCAGGTGGCCTTTCTCTTCACCGTGCTCCAGCGTGCAGCTGAGGAGCGAGGTGAGGGCTGCGGAGCACATACTGAGACACGAATCCTACATGTTCTGCGTCTGAGCCTGGAGAGTATAAATGGAGAGTACCGGAGTGTAATTCGCTTGCGGCATCGCAGCAGCACGTTGAAATTGAAGGTGGAGAGGCAGAGGGGAAGTTCAAGTTTGTGGCCTCCCGGACCATTGCATCTTGCCTCCTAGACTAGCGGCGTGTCAGGCTTTCCGATGTGCAGCTGACAACTGATGGCAGATAGCAGCCAAGGAGCTTTGGTGTCTGTATCCCGTGATTTTTGCTCTGGGCGAGCTGACCCATACCATTCCCGAAGAGTGCCTTGTCGGCTTTTGATTGTGGGTGCTCACGCGGGTCTGTGACTTAGTTTAGCCAAGCTGATTCTTGACGCTCCGCGCCGTCCGCCTCGGCCCCGCAGATCCGGGAGCAGGGCGACAGGCAAATTTTGAAGTGCTGGGGTTAGATGGTTAGATGTTTGGGTCAGTTCCGCAGAAGCAGGTTGTGCCGCTTGAACACTTTTACTCAAAGTTCCTAACACAGGCTGCAGGAACCACAAAGTAAGCACACAGCGACCCAGGGGGAGGGGGGAGGGCGAGGAGAGGAGCAAAACGAGGGCAGGGGGGGAGACAATGGGCCAGCAAACCTCTAGGCACTTGCCGGGCCGATGCGGATTGATTAAGTGGGTGTGGTTTTACATACAGGCTTTCATGCAGCCTAGACTCCCGAAGCACGGCTGCACCAGATTCAGTGCCCTGAAGACTGGAAGTCGTCGGCTACTCTGTGGCCGACGTTTTGGCAAAGCGACCTGTCAGCATTTCGGGTGGATCCAAGTCAAGGATCTCGCAAGCAGTGCGTGAAGTAACTGCGGAACGACTTGGGTATCAGCGAAGTCTTCAGGTCGGGCATACCGATGATGATTTGGATATGGTCGATCTTCGAAACCAAGGCCGTGATGTACTTCTGTTGTCGATGGTTCGGGTTACAGATGTTTAAGGCCGAGCTTGAATAACGCATGAAGTACTGCTGTTGTGGCGGCGAACGGAGGGATGTACCAGGATGCGTAGGGAAGACGCAGAGTGCAGGGGCATGGTAAACTTCAGTGCGTTGAGCTCAGGCCACGAGCTTGCCGACGATTCTCGAGAATGAGAAGGACCTATCTCGACGCACAGCGCGCGACACCGCCAGTTGCCAAAACGCTGGTTTCACCTACTTAGACCTTCTTGTCGGGGTCCATTTGACGCGAGGGGGCTGGAACCGTAGAATGAAAGACTGCTCTTTCCATCATGACGTTCCCTGACCGGGCCGATTGGCCCCAGGAGACCCTGGCTGCAGCCCAAGGGTGACGAGGCCTGCGGTTGCGGTCAAAGACAGCGCAAGGGTTTGCATTGACAGCTTTCTCCCTGGTACTGCTTGCAGAAACTACTGTGGCCCCTCCGCAAGGATCCAGGCACCTTTTGGGGCTTCCAGTTCGGCAACTTTGCCCCGGCGCAGGTTTTCTTGAGGTCCATGGACTTCTTTGACGCTGCGAAGCTGCTGTGAAGCTGCTCCGCATTGCAACAAGGGAGAAACGCTTCCTTCTTGTCGCTCTGTGGCAAGCGCATTTTAATGTGTTTAATTGGCCGCATGTCCGAACGCCGGTAAGCATGAAAGCTTGTTCTCAACTTATAATATGTTGCTTGTCAATGTGTGATGATGCTTGTCTGGGCGTTTTGGCCTGTTGCGGCGCAGGTCTGAAGTTGGCCTGGCGTTTTTGCTGGTACAAAACCAGCATGCCGAGTTTTCCCTGGATTCCTACATAATTTGGGAGCAAACGCCAACAGAGCCTCGAGTGACCGATTTCTATCAGTTTTGTGCAGGGGGTCTCCACAAGTTGAGGCTCTGAATGCTTTTGAAAATCTGGCGACGAGTCCGCACAAGATGTGAGCCATTTTTGTTCATCTGGTTCCTAGTTTTCAGGTTCTCTAAATTCTCGAGATGGCTGGAATGTGCTTGCAGCCAGAACACGACAGTCACAACAGCCTGGGAAGAGCAGGACCACTGAGCTTCGTTTAGTTTTCACTGCCGCTTCAGGTTCCCGCCGGTCGTGGACGTTATAGCAGGGAGCAAGACCATCGTTTCAGAGAACGCAAGATCATTGAATTCAGAATGCCCACAGACAGAAGCTTGATGGAGTTGTAAAACCAGAGGCGAGAGAATCAATCTGATTCCGATGCTGAAGCGACTTATTGCTGGTTCCGAGAAACAAACTCTGTTCTGTTGTGTAGCACACGTGTGTGCGTAGGAACAAACACCTGCGTTCGGCCGATAGATATCGGCTCGAATCGCCTTTTCAGCACTCTCCTTGCTTTGTCGCCTTTTGTCGCCTCCATGGCTTGCTTCAGCCAGCAACTTCGCCGACTTGGCCGCTGCTGCCGGGCTCGACCTGGTGCGCGGTACTATGTCGACCTCGGCGACTTCTACCATTTCGCCTGGACGAGAGCCCACGGCGGGCGACATTGGAGAGATCGCTGTGCAGCCCACGTCGGGCGCTACGGCTGTGATCGAGCCTGATGCTTCCTCGCCGCCTCCGTCCGGGGCAGTTCCCCTCGCCGACCCCTTCAACTTTCGCGACTTTGGCATCCAGACGGAGGGCGAGATTTTCATCATGAACTTCCTCGCCGGGACGTCCGTGGAGGCATTCACGGCGGCGATCAGGGCGTTGTCGCCCGAGGACAGGGATCGTCTGGTCGCTGCCCACGCGGTTGCAGTGGACCAGCCACACACGCCGACGTGGCGTCTTTCTTCGGGCTGGCGTTCACCACGCTAATGCCCCCAGCACCGCCCTCGCCGCCTATAACCACTCTGTCGGCGTCGACCCGTCGACGACCGGTACAGGATTTGGCTCTCCGGTAGCTGCCTGAGCCTGGTGAACCGTGTGTGTGCCGCATGCGCACCGCGGCACCGGCACCGAGTTTTCAGGCGGTGTGCCCGGCCGGGCGCAGTCTGCGCTTCGACCAAAAACGGGCCATTGCACTTTAGTAGGAATTTTGGCGAACAAGTCGTTAGCTTGGTGTTTGTTTTTCGTGATGTCCAGAGTCCATGGTTTCATGCGGCCACCCTGTCCCTTGCCTGCATACTTGCTCGGTCCCAACACGGTTGATCCGAACGCATCTAGCCACAGACGAGCATCACACCATGATGAACAGCAAGACCCAGAAAGATGTTACCAGCTCCCAGATACGGTTTCGTGCAACTGTCTATTGCTAACACAGCCAACATGCACATCCGGTCAATAAATGGCAAAGCAGCTTGGCTTGCCCGCCGGGTTTATGCCAAGCCCTGAGCCCCCAAACCCAACCTTAGCATCTCCACCCGGCAGCCATCAACCCAAAGCCATTCAATCTTCCTTATCTGTGTGTGTCCTTCGGGTACCGCAGCCATGGTGGAGATGGATGAAAACCGCGAGCTCTCGCCTTAGCTGTCGGTCCTAGAGCCTAGAGGCCTCCGAAACCTCCAGCATGCCGAAATTCTCGGAGGGCCGAACCATGGATCTTTGCAGTCGTTGCAAATCTAAGGCGCGCGTATGGCCAAATGCTCGAGGCGAAAGCTGCTGTTTGCCACCACCCCTCCCTGACCCCTCTTTCTCTCTTGCGCGGTGGTCAGCGGTCAGTTTGTGTACAGCGACTTGTCTCGAAAGCTGCATGCAACACTTCGCAACTTGAGGAATCTCAGACTTGTCAAGCATCTCTAGCAAGCCGAACGCTCGTTCAGTTGGAATTTTGTTATCACTTGTTGTCTGCATCATCGACTTGATGTTTTTTGTATCAGTGTGCCGCCTCCCCTCGCTTGTTCGCAGAACTGGCCGTGTCTTCCAAACTTGCGCTCAGCTCCTTTTAGCACACCAGGCCAGTTTTGACAGTTCCGCTGGGAAGGTGGTGAAAGCTGTCCTTGCAGGGCAGATGCAGGCCCGATGAGCCACGCAGAGAGAAAGGGAGTATTCGAGGTTCTTGCCTTCACCCACGGCTGGCAGCATGCAGTTGCCAGCAGGCATCAAACGCGGCAGAGCTGCTGTCACCGATTTCTGCTAAGGACACCGGGACAGGGCTGGGAGCCGTAGCTGCATGCTGCCAAGAAACTCTGTGTTCTCGCAGCTTGCTCGATCGGCACTCTTACGGTGTATTGTGTGTGTGTGTGTGCATAGGATTTGCTAGGTATGTAGCAGTAAGTGTGTGCACGGATGCATAGACGTTGGAACCTCCGTCTACTCCACATAAGATGAACTTCTAGAGCATCACGCTCGAAACTAGAGGTTTCGGAATGTTTGGACCCCGTGACTCAACACTGTGGCCTCCACGATCTCTGTGCTTTGGTGGAAAGTCTGTCACATCAAATGCTGCGCCCCGAGGGTAGGTTAGAGTCTGCCAGATCTGTGTGCCCTCCATGAGCTTTAGTCATACCGGGTCAAAGCGCACATCCAAACTCAGTCTTGCATCTCGAGGATGTTCAGGGAGGCTAGGCAGGCTAGGATAGGCTAGGCATGGCACGCCGCCGTGTGTGCAAGCACAGGTACATGACACCGCAGCTCAGTGCAGTAGCCCTTGAAGCTTGGAACATCTTGGAGCAACATCTTGGAACTTGGAGCTTGTGCGTGCGCATGGAGAGCGAGCTTTCTGGGCTGGACGAGAGGGAGGAGCCCTCCGAGCCCTCCGAGGCGCGGGGCAGTTAGGGGGCGGGTTTCGAAGTGGTCCTCCATGTTGCAGAGCCGGTTCCTAGCGGGCTACGCTTCAAGCTTTGCTTAGCTGCTTCATGCTGCTTCCCGACCGTATGCGACAGAATCCGTCCCGTTGCGCTGTACAGGGGCCATCATGACCTGAGAAAAATCTTCACAGCTACGACCTTTCCGTGGAGTCCAATCCCTAGGCCCCAGGCCCCAAAACCTTCTGAAAGCGAATCGCTCGGAGTTTCTGTTGCTTGAGAGACCGATCGGCGAAAGGGAGCGAGAGGTTTTCGGACTTGGCCACTGGGGCACCGCCCTCCCTCGGCCCTCCTTAGCGTTCGCACCTTTGGCTAACGGATCATGCGAGGCATCTACTCGGCGGTCGAGCGCACCACGTGTCCCGGCGACAAACCAAGGGGCCAACCGCATTCTGGGGGTCTTGCGAATCGAACAGTACATGGAGTGTACAAGATTGTACCGGCAGGGGTGTTGGCAGTCGAGGTGTGATTACCGTGCCGCTGCTGTTCCGGCGTCTACTGGACCGGTCGACAGGCCGCTTGCAAGCAGCTGAGGTTCACGGCCTGGGATTTGCAAGAACTGTGCCATTCAGGTTATACCAATGATTCGCTGGTATCGCACTTGGTCGAAAGCGGGGCCATTGCACAGTCGCACATTGAGGCGAGCAAATGGTCTCTGTACTAGAAGGTAGTAGTGTAGTATCAACCTTCTGCCGTAGTTGCAGTGAAGCTCAGTGAAGACAAGGATGCCGGAGGCTCATGACATGCTCAGTGCATCTCTCCCGACGTGGCCCGGTCGGATTCAGTGCTTCTTGCGAAAGGCAGCATTTCGTGCCGTGGACCGTGGGAAGTTCCTGCCGAACCTCGAGGAGGGCACATCCGAGGCCAAAGTTGAAGTGTCGATTGTATACTGTAGTGGAAGGACATGGTGAGCTGCTGAACTTGCATCATCCTGACCGGCAACAGCCGATCTTTCCGTGTCTGTCTCTGTCTCTGTGTGTGTGTGTGTGCGCACGCGCGTGTGTGTGTGTGTGTCGAGGCCCCCATTCTACGCTAGAGTCTAGAGTTTGGTGGTTTCTGCTGAGATTGGAAGCCGCTTTGTATAAGCAAGCAAATCATGCTACGTTTGTTATGTGTCAACATGCAGCTTTATTGTACCTCGCGGCCATTTTGGCTTAAGTGTGATTTTTTAGTTGTGTGTTGTTTCTGTGCCCTGTTGCTGTTGTTGTCTGGCCTTCAGCATGAGCGTCTCGCCTCTTGCTACCCTGGTTCACCGGCTCCGAAGTGCTGCTTCTGCCGACTTTGCCCTGCTTGAGGCAGCCTGTCGAGCTTTGCCTGAGGCGGAGCTGAAGCACCTGGATCTATCACATGTGGGAGGCCATGCAGATGCAGCAGTTTGCGCACCAGACGGCCCCAGTGACTTTGACACCCCCCGTTGGGCATGGAGCTGCGCACATATACGAATGGAGTGTGAGCAGATGGCCGATGGAGGCTGCTGCTGACATCAGGTTCTCTGCCGCGTGTCTCTGGTGGCTTCCCTGCATGCGACGCCAAACGGTTGCTGAGGTAGCGCTCGTTTTGTGCAGATTTTCGTTGTGGCAGCCCTGGGCGCTCCGATTTCTATGTCTTGGCTAAGCAAGCTGTGGTAGCAGGCCACTCAATTCACGCCTTTGTTGTCTGAGAGTACCACTTGGTGTTCCTCACCCTGTGCGTTACAAAACTAAGGCCGTTAACACTGCCAATCGAAGTTCTTGCAGCAAACGTCGTTTTGCTGCCCAGCTGAGCCGGGTTTCCTCACCCAGGCAGACTGTGCAGACGGGTGCTTAAAGCGTAGGACTGTTAACACTGCCCACAGAAGTTCTTGCAGCAGACGATCCGTGCTACTTACCGGCAGCGCTGCGTTGACTGTTAACACTGCCAGCCGAAGATTTTGCCTCAGACGTCGTTGTGCTTTCCAGCTGAGCCGAATTGAGAGCGACTGCTGAGCAGGGTCTGAGTCTGAGGTCTCCTCACCCAAGCAGACTGTACAGACGGGTGCTCAAAGAGTAGGACTGTTAACACCGCCCACAAAAGTTCTTGCAGCAGACGTTCCTCGTTACTTACCTGCAGTCTCGTGTTGAGCAGCTTAGTTTTTTTTTTCCAGTGCGCATTGTATGAGGTCGCCTCACCAAAACAGGCTGTACAGCTGAGTGCTCAAAGCATAAGTCCGTCTTTCCAGTGCCAGTGGTGGGTAGTGCACCGACCTGTTGTTTTAACTCCTTTTCTTGCTGTGCATACTGCATGCTTGTTGTCTTGGTTAGCAAGAGCGAGGACGCCGAGGCAATAGTCGGTTTTGGCTCTTTGTTGTGACATGCTCGACCACCAGGTCTCGAAACGCCTGTTTAGCAGCTGACACAGCTGATGCGCTTGAGTGAATGAAACGATGGGCCCAGTCGTGGTGTGTGCCCCAGTTTTCTCGCGCAGGCCAAGGAAGTGCGTGGGGATTATATTCGCCCTGTCCAGCGCTGCAGTTAAAGAATTTGGGGCGTGAAGGCATCGCTGGCCAAAACCGTTTGCAACCTGTGAACCTGCACATAGCGGTGCCGCTCTGCTCGCGATCTGCACTGCAGTGCTGCTTGTCTTCTGACTCGACGGCTTGAGCTTTCCCGACGTGCTTGCTGAAGAAGGTGTGACTGCACTTCTGTTGTTTGTAGCGAGCGACAATAAGTTTGTTGTGTGTCAACATGCATCTGTCTTGTACCTCGCGGCCATTTTGGCTTAACTGTGATCTTTTTCAATGAAAAATGAGCTTATCCCTTTTGGGATCTAGGCCTTGGTTTTGGTCCTGTCAGGCGCAGGGAACTGCGGGGGGAAAAGCGCAACAAGCGCGTCCAGGCGCTTTGCAAGTGGTCCAACGTCCAACCTTTGGAGGCTGTCGCCTGAGCTGTTTTGCTCTGCAGCTTTGTCCAAGCTGCCTGAGCGTGGTGATCAGCCCCTGACTGATCATCTTGATGTTCCCTTCAGCAAAAAAGGCACCAACACTTTACTGTCCAGGGCTCAGCCGCTGACGAGGTTCGTGCTCTGGCACAAGAAGCTTAGTCCTGAGGAGTCGCT